GGTGCCGTGGCCTAGGTTTCTCACTGAAAATCCTCGTCCCCCGGCGGCACTTTTTTTTGAATTTTCTTCCTTTTCAACGCCGTTTTTTCGGGGATTTCGGATTTTCTTTGAATTTTTTCGCAATAATATTTGAAGAACAGATAACTTTTAACACATTTTAATGCAAAAAAATTTTTGGTCGGAGTCCCCCTTTAATATCCTTTTAGGGTGATTTTACATTACCATAATATTTCTCCACCAGGTCACAGTCCAAGTTCCGCATTCCCATAGGGAGAGCACAAAGTCCAACACAGTCACGGGTGATAAGAAATCCCAGCGGGAAATCCATTAGATGGCACATAGGCTGAAAAACCACATTCCCCTCTCAGCGCCTCCGTTCTGTACACTCTAACATTCTCTAACACACTCTAACATTGATATTTCAGATCGTTCCGCAAGCTCCTGGAATGCCATCACATCATCGACCAGCAGCTCCGCCCCACACCCACGGAAACGATCCATATAAATATCCCCCCTTTCGTCTATTCGAGGCCTTTTATCTTGTTTTAGATGTCTTATTATTGTTCCTGGTCTCAGACCAGTTAAATAAACCATTTGTTAAATCTACCCAAAGCGTTGAACCTTCACTAAGGTTTTGGAGAGTGTAAAACAGACCTAGATTGGAAACTTTGCATTCACAAAATTTTTCGAAAATTCTTAGTTTTTCTAGGAACCCAAACTCTAGAGACCGTTAGCTGTTTCCTCATGAGCACAAAAACTATGGCTAGATACGGTTCAGAAACTCCAGTTTCTGCTGCCGGCTCTATGACAGGATGTCGTTTCTCGACCGGTTCCTGTAACACTAGAGAAGCTGCTGTCATCGACGACTTGGCGCCACGTTCTCCGCGAGGTTTCACGAAATGCCGTCTGGCCGGTCAGAAGCTTCATCGCCCGATTCCGCGAATAGGTTACGTCCGTATGCCATTCTATACTCATTGGTACTCGTAAGTCTTTAACTTTCGACCAAGTCCCAGCAGTCAAAAACGGGTGCTCCTCATTTTTCCTAAATTAAAGGACCAGGGACGGTCCTCGCTAACGGTGGGAGGTGTAAGGGTGTACAAGACCCTTATTACTGGATTCCCCATAGTAATCAGTTCCGCTGTTTGTAGTCAGATTCCTTAGAGCCATGACATGTCTTTCTTTGTGGACTTTGCTCCAAGAGCCGAGAAATACCATTCTCTCATGTGACATATTGGCTCTAAGAGATCAAGATAGAGATTCTAAACCCTCCAGTCACTCAACAGTCTCTAAATCCTGAGTCATTCCAGATTCCAATGACGAGTTCCATCGCCCCCACGGCTGCAGAAGCTCCAGACAGCGGCTCTCCAAGATCACCATCGTCTCTTGATAAATTCCTCATTTCCATTATCTATTTGTCAGCATTTCGGTAACCACCGCCCCGAATTCCATTTATTCCCCATTTGTATATAACCCCTAAGTTCATGTATCCCAGAAGACAAGATTACACCATATTCTTATTTTCAGGATTACACCATATTCTAGATTACACCATATTCTTATTTTATTATATTCAGGGCTCGAGTCGCCCTTTTCCCCTAACTTGACCAAAGTTTAGAGAATAAACCTATTTCATATCCATGAACTCTTATTAAAGAAAAAAAATTTCTTCAGTCGGCAATATCCTCCGATCGACATTCGGCTGGTCCCAAGGTGCCCATTCGAGATCCCTCCTGGACGCCTAATTCTCTATTTCTTCCAAAAATTCTGAATAAATTTTGCATTATTTCGAATCATTATTCACTATCAGCTAAGAAAATTGGTGATAAGAATAAGAAATGACGGGTAGAGGAATTTTTTGAAAACAAAAAGAAAAAAACAAGAAAGAGAGACCAATTATGTATGAGAGTAGCTGTTTTTGATTGATTGAGGGGGGTAGGGGAAAAGGGGAATTTCGTAGGGAAATTGAAAGGGGGAAAATAAACATTTTTCTATAATTTTCTGGGGGAGTATGATGTGCCTTTAAAACCGTAATACAAATGAATAGAATTTTTTGGAGCTTCCGGGACCGGAAAGCAATAATTAGGAGGGGTTTAAGTGAACAAATAGAAGTGGGTTATTCTGGGGGAATTCTGGAAAAAAGACCAAAAATAAAGAAAACAAGAAAACAATTTAAAACGAGTCGAGTCGATTATCATCATCATTGGCTGGCCGTCTGACCGCATCCGCACTTTCATCCTCATCTGAATCCGACATTGCCAACTCATTCAGCAGTTGGCCAGCTGCCAAGTTGTCGTCGTCCCACATTGGTTGGCCGTCGTCGTCTGAAAAAAGCAGCGATTTAAAAATTGGTGGTACAGTAACCTGATGGAACTTATGTTAGAGATTCTAAAATAGCCTAATTTCAATTTACCGTATTTCTACAGTACCTATCTATAGGAGCCCTAAAAACCCATTTACAGTAGCCCTACAGTAGCCAAGACCCCATACAGTAACCAAGACCGTTTCCAATGAGCTACAGGTTCCTGGGAGGAGGAGTGTAGAGTAGCCTAGGATGGTCTACAGTAGTCCAACAACAACATAATCTTGCTACAGTAGTCTACAGTATCCTGCAGTAGTCTACAGTACCCTGACAGTAGCTTGAAGCTCATCAGTCAAAGAGATTAACAACTGTTAGCTGGGATAATCAATTTCACAATCAGGATTTTTCAGAAAAATCTGGATAAACTACAGTAACTCTCTCTCTCTCTCATATACAATAGCCCTACAGTAGTCCTGCAGTAATCTGACAGTAACCGAACATGAAGAGTAACATCTGTAAGCTTGAAAAATGAATTTCAGAATTCCAAAAGCTCTAGAATTCCTGGCTATCAATTTCTACAGTAATCTCAAAGTACAGTACATCAGAAGGATATGGATAAACTACAGTAACCCTATATTTTCTCCCTACACTCTGGAATACAATAATCCCACAATTATTCTTGCTACAGTAATGTTTGTAAGCATACAGTAACCTAACAGTAGCCTCGCGTACAGTAACCCTCTCTTCCCTTACCTCCAGTATCAACCTCCATCTCCTCTTCCAACTCATCATCCTCATCCTCTGTCGGATGCTCATCCGTCTGCTCTATCGTCTCCTCGTCCGCCGTGACCTCCGCTTCCGACGTTGCCGCCTGTCGCGCCGCCGCCGCTTCCGGATTGATATTCTTCTCCAGCTCAACCAACGTCTCCATGTTCTCCTGTACCAACCGTTCGGTGAGTTGCCAAATCTCTTTAGCCTTGGCAGTATAGATACTAGCTTCTCCATTGAACGCCAACGAATTGTCCAGAATCAAACGCATATCCTTGAGGAAATCATCGATTGATTGATATTCGTGTCGCTTGTTTTTCTGTTCAATCGTCCCCAAATCAATGGGGTTCTGGATACGAACGTAGTAGGATGGGAAGCGTTTTCCATCGACTTTTGTATGGAACGGCGCCGATTTTGGGATGTTTCGAACTTTTTGAATGATTTGGTCAAGGACAAAGCAGAAGCCAACTTCATCGTTCGAGTCCAAAAGTGGATTGATTTGTTTTTCGAGTTTCATGAATTCAGAATCACGGAGCGCCAGAAGGAATCCGGCTCGCTTGAGGATCTGAAAATGATATTTCTAGATTGGTCTACAGTAATCCAATACTTACATCAGCCGCATTCATCGTCAACACATGATTCTCTCCGTTGTACATCCGCGAGTTCCCATGCATCAGACGTATATCCTCGATGAATTCCTTTCTCAGTTGATAGGAATACGAGGCAATTTTATTCTTAATATCTTGAAACGAAATCGGATTCTTGATGATGTTGTAGTAGTCTGTGACTTGTTTCGGATTCACTGGGAATAGGAAGGCGTCGGACCCTTCGAGAGACTTCAATTCGTTCAGAACATCCGTCAGCATTGTTGACAACACCACTTTCGGATCAGCACGCATTCGATTATTGACTTTGATTGGTCCTTGGAGATAGTCGTCTTCTGGCATGATGGATTGACGACGACGGGCACTGGAGACTGACGAGTTACGACCACCGCGGACCTGGAAAATGATACAGATGTGATTTGAAGCTCTAAACTATCCGCTTTCATGCGAAAAATGAAGTGATCTAACTTTTGCAAATAGGGTTTTCTAGGCCACCAAAGTAAATGACCTAGAAATGACCTGGTTTCCATCTAGTGCGTTTTCTAGTCTATTTTGACATAATGGCCTAACTTTTGCTAGTTGGGTTTTCTAGGCCGCCATAGTCATTGCCATAGAAATGTTCTGATATTCACCTGGTGTGTCTTCTAGGGCATTTTGACATCGTGGCCTAACTTTCTCAACACGAATTTTTTAGGCCACCTTTGGACATGCATAGAAATGGCATGGTATTCATCTGATGGCTTTTCTAGGCCTTTTTGACATGGCGGCCTGACTTTTGTAATTTTGCAATTTTGAGTTTTCTAGGTTACCAACTTACCGCTCCTGGTCCATTTCTGAATGACGATGTTCCAGAAACCTGTGAATATCGGTCCTCCTCATCGTTATCCGTGTGTCCTCCATACGAATGAACCCCATTTCCAGGTGGTGGATCCGAAGTGTCGAAACGTGTCAAATACTCCATTTGTCTCTTTTGAACATCGACTTCTGCCTTCTTCGCCAACTTCCGCTTGATCTTTTCTTCGCGTGCTTGTTCTCGACGGAGCTCTTCGAAATTGATGTTGAACTTCATTTTCATGCCGTCCACTTGTACCTGGAAAATTAGATGATTACTGTAGGCCCATTAAATCAAAATGTTTGCTCAAAAAACTCCAAAAACTTACATGACTCTCCTGTCGTACTGGCGGTGGCGGTGGTGGTGGCACCGAGATACTGGCGGATGACGAATTTCCGTCATCTTCCTCCTTCAACGGTGTCAATGGATCCTTTCCGTATAGCGGGCAGTTTCTGTTGGTCTTCATATGTCCATACGCGTGGCACGCACTGCATCTCATTTTCTGAAGATTGGGATTCGGTGGCTTCTCCTTTCGAACCGTCTGTTTCGGTGTCTTCGCCTGCTGCTTCTCCTCGTTCTTTTTCATTCGACGAGCCTGATCTTGAAGGCGTCGTTTCTTCTTGCGATTCTCCTCCTTGTATTGCTCATCCATCTTTGCGTAAACCTGGAAAAAGCTTACTGCATATAGGATTACTGTAGTATACATACCTGAATGAAGGTGTCATCCCTGGTCATCCGAATTCTTGTGTATGCTTCAATCAACTGTGGTCTTGTCACAATCTCCACTCGTGTCGTTTCCTTTCCATCTGGTCCTTTCACTGTTCGGAAAATCTTCAATTTCTGATTCGCAGTGATTCCACTAATCTTCGACGCTGACATTGCGACGTCTTCTCCGAATTGCGACGCATTCTTCTTCTCCTCAGCCGTTGCTTCTGATTCTTTTTTCTCTGCTCCCTTCGAATTCACCGCATCCCCATGTATCATTCGTTTCAAATCCTCTCGTTCCCGCTCTTCGGTTTCAAAATCAATTTTTGCTTTTTCGGACATCGAGATCACTTTTTTGCCCTTATTCGCTTCTAGCATCGACTCTAGACGAGACGCTAACTCTTCGTTATCAGAATCGGCGTCTGTTGAATCGTCGTCTGTGGAGATGGCTTCTGTGTTGGCGAGAGTGTGATTTTGAAGGTCGAACGTGCGCTGACAGTGTTTTCGATATTTCTCTTGCATGTCTGCCGAGCTGAAACGAGTGTTTCCACGAGCGAATCGAGCCATTCCGGAGACCGCTGAAAGAGCTATTTTATTTGGAAAAAATACACTTTTTTCCGGCTGCAAAGGTACCGTATTTTCTATGCTCTACGAGAACTTTGAGCTCAATTATCTCGCTTTCTACAAAAGATATCACAAATCTGTCAACTGATAAAACAATGGTGATATTATCACAAACATTTTAGCAGTTAACATATTTTCAATATCTCTCATAGGAACCGAGATAATTGAGCTCAAAGTGCACGCATACGTTCGGAGCAAGTACAGTACGTTTTTCTTTTTCGTTTTTCCTTTTTTTTCCTAATTTGGCTCAATTTTTAGTTTTTTTTGGGCATAATTCTATTTAACTTCAGGTCTTGATTGGCTGAAATTTCAGCCATTTCCAGTATAGAAATAGGCTGAAACTTCACTTTTTGTGTCCTGTTCAAAACATCTATCCCGAAACTCATATTCTTTTCATTTTCCGGCTCCGAGACGTTTCGCAACTGCGACATTTTGCAACCGTGATGATAAAAAAGGCAAATGGATAGGTTTCAGACTACGAAAACAAGGGCTTCTAAAACAGGTTTTACTGCATGCCTTTTCTGACAGAACACATTCTATGATTCAAAAAAAATCTAAAATTGTTTCAAAAAATTCTATCAAAATTGTTATTATATTCTATCAGGAAATGTATATTTGAAGTCAAGTATTATCACGGTTGGTAATTGTCGCAGTTGCGAAATGTCCTGATTCCCATATTTTCCTAAAAATCCTAACTCTAGCTAATTTCGTAACTTTATTGGCTGAAATTTCAATCATTTTCAGTATAAAAATAGGCTGGAACTTCACTTATTGTGCCATTTTCAGAAAATCTTATCCCTCAAAATCCTCTTACTTTCTCCTTCCTTCGTTGCTTTCGCCGCTTGTGTTGACAGTGTTCTAATCACATCAATGATTTCCCATCTCGTCAGGGCACTAATCTCCTCATCCTTAACACCATACGTCCTACAGATCTCCTTCGCTTCTTTCAAAGGCAGCTTTCTCAAATCTGCATTAGTTCCAGTGACCAACTTCTTCGGAGCCGGTGTCGCATTCTCATCCTTATGTGGTTTCTGAGACACTCTCACGTAGGAGAATCCTTGTCCACATCCAGTCGGATCTGCAATTCCAGTCTGATCCAGCAAGCATTTCTCTCGTTGTGACGCCAAGAAAGCGCGAGTCGTGTTCCATGGAGCGCATTTGATCTCATCTTCGATGGTCACCTCATCATCCGATCCCTCATCGTTTTCCGGTGTGAAGAAGTACTTTTCTCCGTACCCTGCATCTTTGAGTCTTTGCTCCGCAGCCATCATACTGTACTGAGCACAACACATCTCTGGAGTCACCATGGATAGAACCTCTTCTTTTGATGGTAAACGGAATTCTGGTTTCAGAAGCCAATAGGTTTCAGCACCATAACGTGTGAAAGTGGAACACATTTTCAGTCGTTTCCTTATGTTACTTTCCGCATAGTGGGGGAATGCATTTCGAACGTCTTCCATTTTCAGACGACGTGGTGAGTGCTCAGATGACCAGAAGAGGCGATAGATGAAGGCGAAGAGGAAGTCACGAACAAATACAGTGGCTCGTTTGGAATTTGGAGATGGTACCTCGTAAAGAGGACACTGTTGACCAGCGACGAATAGAGATGGCAGTGGGCGGATGTACCATTGTCCTTGACTTCGAATCAGAAGGAAATCCGTACGAGTACGTTTGTGCATGAAGATTGGAGCTCGATAAAGGCTATTCTCAATGGATTGAAGAGATTGGCCTGGTTGGAGTTGTCCGAGGAATGGAATTTGATGAGAGAACGCTATCTCTCCGTACTCGAACGTTGGTTCTGTGTCGTTTGCCTGTCGTCGCTTGAAGTAATTCTTTATTTTCGATGCCATTCCGGGTTGTCCCAAGAGGACAGGATGTTCTTCACAGTACTCAATCATTACGAGTTTCTCATCTCGTCCACTTAGATCTTGAATCTCTTTCATATAGAACACTTCTCCACCTCCATGCGATTGACGCATCGCTTCACGTTGAGCAGCGACGCGTTGTTGATGTCGAGCCGGTGTCTGAAATGTAGTTTGTAGTTTGTATTATTTTGGCACCAAAATTTAGAGCTGTGGAGGTCCTAACACGACAACTACCGTAACCTAAAAATATGTTCATTTTCCGGATTTATTTTCTCGTTTTTCACTGCTTTTCGTAGGGTGAAACAATTCACTGAAAACGCACGAAAATCGAGAGGATAACCCCTGAAAATACATATATTTACAGGTTACTGTAGTTTGTAGTTTCTCTTCCACAACTTCAATTTGTTTTTGAAATCCGAAAACCTCACATGAATCGGAACTAATCGATTCGGACTCCAGTGTCTGACAATTCGTCTCGTAAACGGCGTCCTATGCCAGAATCTCAATCGGAATGACGATGGATGTGTCGGGAAGAACTGCGTGGCGATGTTCGTGGCCGGTGTCGAGTGTTGAATCAGAAGCGAATTCGTCGACAACGTCTTCGACGTGGCTTTCGGAACGTAGTAGTCGTCGTTGGACAAATTGAAGGGATCGTTATCCGTGAATTGTCCCATCGTACTCTCCATTTGTTCATCTTCCTCTTGTTTCTGCCGCTGTTGTACTTGTCCCAGAATCATTTTCGATTTCTTCGTGTATCCATCTTTTCTGTGACTGTCTTGACGATGATGATGATGATCCTCGTCTCGACGATCTTCTGGCATCCCGTAGATCAGTGGATCGTCTTGGAAATCAACAAGGAAGTCTATGGGTTCAAGTGCTTGAGCCATGTTGTCCGCATCCCAAATCACGTTTTCCTCCCATGGAAGAACGTCTAGATCCGATGGGGTGGATGGGAAAATCGATCGATTCGGGCCAGGAAGAATCAGAGAATCGGGTCCAGAGAGGTTGATAGGGGCGGATTTCCCATCAAACATTTGTTCGAATGCGTTGTTTCCAGCTGGAAATTAGAATTAAGTTTCGTTTGATCAGGCCCCGCTGGGGCCCATTTTAGCGGCCCTTGATGCTGTCCTATCTCCTTTTAGGATTGCAATTTTTAGACCATCAAAGTCAGGTACGGTAGAACTCGACCAGGAATACGAATTGATACTATTTGAAATACTGTATCTTGTACATTAGCAAAGTTACAAGCCAACAATAACCGCAATTGCACCAAAAATCATGAAAATTTACCGATTTTCAGGAAAGTTATGGCTGAAAATGATTTTTATAATTTTCAAAAAAAGATATTTTCAATTTTTCAAGTACTGTATGCCGTCTGAAAGCTCTTAAAATTCCCAATAATTCTATGTAATTTTCATAGTTCTAGCTTTCCATCGAAGCGAGTTACACGCTTTTGAAGTTTGGGAGAGACGCAGAGAAACGAGTGTGCTCTCGTTTCTCTGTGTCTCTCTCAAAGAGTTTAAAGACGCATAACTCGGCTCAGAAATATCCGATTTTGTTGATTTTTGACTAGATTTATAGAAAAGAAAAATAAGAGCTATCAGATCATATAAATTTCTTCTTAAAAAATCGAAGATATGTTTTCCAAACAATAGCATTTTGTAGTATTCGTCGAGTTCTATAATATCTAATGTAGTTGGTCAAAAATATTGGTTCTGAAAGGATCTATGGCAAGACCCGCTTAGGGTCCATGTTTGGTCAGTTTTTGGCTCGTTTTGGACACATTTTTTAGTCTGCTGTTCTCAAAACTCACCAGCATAAACAAAATGCTCATAAGTCCTCGTATACTGTGTAGCTATCCACCCGCAACCCCTTCCATTTGAAAACTCCTCTAATAACTGATCCTTCACTTCCTCTCCATCCATTATCACATCTTTTTCCCATTCTATCACTTCAAACGGTTGCAGAACGTCTTCAGAAGTGGTCGCTTCACAACTTTTATCAATTACTTCCACCTTCTTCTCAACTGAATGTCCAGAAGACGTTGATGGGTCTTCTGCATGTATGAAGTTCAGTTTTCGATGATATTGATTCGGTTTTACGGGCGTTTTCTGAAATATTGCAGATGGTTTTTTAGCGAATTTCAAATTTCAAATTTGAGTTCTAACCTTAATCTTAAAACCATAATTCACCGCCTGACTCGTCGATGGCAAATTCATCATATCGTACCAAATCTTGGCTGGACCTACTCTCCATGGCTGTACTACCGTGCCCTCTTCATTCTTTTTCGCCATTTCCTCATCTTCCGTCAGAATCGGAAGACGCATTATCGCTTCCTCATCTGGAGCCAAAAGAATGCCTGGAACCTTCTCGATGATGTTCAACTTCAGCCGTTTCGATCCGTCCGACGTCGTCTCCATGACGTCTTCTGATTCTTCTCGTTCTCGATTTCGACGTTCGTTGTGTTTTGCGAACGTTCGAGACGCCCACCAGATTTCCGCGCGCGACGATTTTTTGATGTTTTGAGCGAAGAGTCGGGAGAAACGAAGCGTTTTGTTGGGTTTGAAGTCTTTGAAAAATATTCTGAAAAGGGATTTTTCAATTTAACTTTTTAAAATTTCTTTATTTTGTGCAGAAAATCATGAAAGATCCACTCATGTGACCTAAAATCGGCCTAAAATGATCCAAAACTAGCCTAAAATGGTCCAAAATCGGCTTAAAATTATCCAAAATTATCCTAAAATGATCAAAAATTAGCCTGAAATGATTCGAAATCGGCCTAAAATGGTCTAAAATTGACCTTAAATTATCTAAATGAGGCTTGAAATAGTCCAAAATTGGATAAAATGGTCCAAAAATCGGCCCGAAATCGACCCAAAATCGGGCAAAAACGGTCCAAAATTGACCTTAAATTATCTAAATGAGGCTGGAAATGGTCCAAAATTGGCCTACAATGATCCAAGATGATCCGAAATCGGCCTAAATTGGTCCAGATGAAGGAATTTTTTCGAATTTTCGTATGAATTCGCATGATTTTCTGCAAAAAATAAGCCAATAATTCTTACCTCGGATCAATACCATCTAAATCGGGATGCAAAATATTGGCTAGCGGTGTGTCATCTCTCAGTGATGGTTTAATGAAAGGTTCGAGGTCTTTTAGACGGACTGGATCGCCTGGATATTCTTCAGGAAGACCATCGTCCTCCTCTTCTTTTTTAACTTCTTGTGATGATGTTGTGGCATTGTCGTCGTTGTCGGATTCTGGAGGCACGGACGATTCATTTCTAGCAGCCACATGATTAGCATAGTATTCAGAGAGGTTCGCGTACGGATCCTCTTCGATTACTGTAGTTTCCAACGGCTTTTTGTCCGTTTTGTACCCGTTTGTGTGTTTGTGAAGGGAGTGAGCGTTGTGGTGATGTTGGGGACGTGACGACGGATGATGGAGGTGGTGTCCATTGTTCATCACTGCAAATTTTTGGAATTTTGAGAAGAATTAAAATTTTTCCGATGGAGTAGTGAGCAAAAAATAGATTTCCCTGAAATTCTGATGTTTGTCTTTTTTTTCCAATTTTTTACAGGTCATTCTTAGATTTCCATAGCATAAAAATGGGCAGAAAAGAAAAAAATAGATCCAAAAAGCAAAAAATCGCTTAGTTCTTACCCATTTTTTGAATTACCGCCAAAACTGAAATCTCAGAAAAATATTTTTTTTGCGATTTTTCGAAAGAAAAATCATGTTTTTTCTCTAAATTTTCGCAATATTTTTAGACTTTTTTAGGTTTTTCAGCTATTTTCAAAGATTCTTTTCCGTTTTTTCCGGTTTTTTTTGTGTTCGTGAAAATTACTGTAGATTACTGTAGAAAAATTTTTCTTTTTCTGCAAAACTTTTCTGTCTGCATGACGTGGTTTACAATTAAAAAACTACAAACTGAAAGGTTTCCTACAGTAATCTACAGTAATCAAATACCGTTCCATCAAATTACAGACAAAGAAAAAACCGGAAAAATCGAAAAAGAATATTCAAAAATAGCTGAAAACCCTCAAAAGCTCTAAAAATTTTGCAAGAAAATCGGGGAAAAAATCAATTTTCTTTTGAAAAATCACAAAAAAACCGCTAATTTTTCGGAGTTTTTAGTTTTAGAGGGAACGTAAAAATGACTGAAATCAGCTGAAATTGTCTAAATAATTTTCAAAATCGGCTCAAAAAGACCCGAAATTCAGTGAAAATTAGTGAAAAATTCAATACAATCAATCGCGACTTTGTCTGAAAATGTGAATTTTGATTAAAAATGACCGAAAAATCCCAAAAAACCGCTAATTTTTCAGAATTTTCCGCTTTTTTGAGCGATTTTTTTGAAATTTTCTATAAATCTACTTTTTTTTTTCTACACATTTTGTTGCAATCGTAACTTAAAATGACCTGTAAAAATTGGAAAAAAAAGACAAAAGAATTCAAAAATCCACAAAAAATGAAGAATCAAAGATAATCACAGGTGCTTCGAAACACCATAAAAACCTCGGGAAATCCCCCGAAATCACAAAAATTTGAAAAATTCTGCATTTATTATCAAGTGTGGACACGATAGGAAGGGAATTTACACGGAAAAATGGGGTGAAAAAAAACCATAAATTGAGGGGAAAAAGTGAAAAAAATGAAAGTGAGATACCCAAAAAAAAGCAATTTGAGAGGGGAAGAAAGAGAGAGCTTTTATGCTGAGCAATGAGATTTTCTTATCAAAGAGCAATTATGTGTGACAAAAATCGAAAAAAAATGGATAAAACAAAAGACAATGTGACATAGAACAAAGTGAAAAAAGTACAGAAAATTTTGAACATAAACATGAGAAAAATTTGACAAGCTTTTGGATCCAAATTTGGAGGAAACATGAATTTCGAGAGGGGGAATTTCAGTTTTTGGGACAATAAAAATGGGATTTTTCGCGGTTATTTTTGATTAGTATGGAGGGGGTAGAAGTGAATTTAACTATTTTTAATATGATTTTGGGGTCAATATGACTATATTTTTTGTTGAAAACACTGAAAAAGATAGGAGAAATCTACATTCTCTGGAGCTGTCCCATCAGTTGTCCCAATTCGGGACTCGTCTGCATCCCAGAGACATCGGTGGACATATCTTCGAGATATGCGAATTCAGCCAGTGCCGATCGTTCGTCCTTTCCGAATCTGGAAAAAAAAGCAGAAATGGGAGGTGTGAAATTAGTGTGCGAGGTGTTTTTAGGTCATTATTCACCAATTTTGGGCAAAAATCGAACAATTTTGAGACAAAAATTGACATTTTTAGCTTAAAAATTACATTTTTTGAGGCTCAAGATAGTAAAAAAGGTTCTAAAAGGTCTAAAAGCAACAGAAACACTAATAATCATACTTGTAACGGGCCGGACTTTTTCCGGAATTTTGGAGGCCCGGCCCGAGCCCGGCCCGGCCCGGCCCGTTATTTCACTAGTTTCGAAAATTTCAAAAAACACATAAGGGGGGACCCTTATGTGATTTTTTTCGACCGAAAAAATTTTTTTCGAGTTTTTCGATCTTTTTTGATCAGACAGACAAACAATCCGAAATACGAAAAAAAATGGAAAAAATTATATTGAGAGCTCAAAATTTGGCTCAAAAATACAGAATTTTTGACACCGGGCCTTCCGGGCCGGGCCCGGGCGCCTTGAAAATTTCCTCAGGCCCGGCCCGGCCCGGAATTTTACAAGTATGCAAATAATAACCAGAGAAAAACCTTTTTAAAGGAGGACTCCGACCAAAAATTTTTATTGCATTAAAATGTGTTAAAAGTTATCTAATTTCCGAATATTATCGCGAAAAAATTCAAAGAAAATCCGAAATCCCCGAAAAACGGCGTTGAAAGGAAGAAAATTTAAAAAAAGGTGCCGCCGGGGGACGAGGATTTTCAGTGAGAAACCTAGGCCACGGCAGCGGGCGCCTTTCCTATGTGGCAAATTTTCCGGATTTTTTTCAATTTCATTTCCGGCAAGTAAAAAACGTCAAAAACCACTGTCGGCGACTTGAAAAAAGGCTGTCAGGTGCCGTGGCCTAGGTTTCTCACTGAAAATCCTCGTCCCCCGGCGACACCTTTTTTGAATTTTCTTCCTTTTCAACGCCGTTTTTCGGGGATTTCGGATTTTCTTTGAATTTTTTCTCAATTATATTTGAAAAATAGATAAATTTTAACACATTTTAATGCAATAAAAATTTCTGGTCGGAGTCCCCCTTTAAGAGCCTTTTTAAAATTTCGCGCTATTTATTTTCTTCGTTTCCTCTCTGCGTCTCCCTAGCCATCTCGGCCAGCGCCCGACATTTCCCGGGTTCCGCCAGCCACTATGTTTTGTGTGGGGAAATGGGCGGAGTCGGGGAGGGAAAGAAGGTGTTATTTTTAAGCTAATTTATCTCGGCTTCAATGCAAGATATCGAAAATCTGTCAACTGATAAAATGTTTGTGATATTATGGAACCGCGATAAATTGCCTCAAATTTTGAAAGTCAGGGGGGCCCTTCTATTAAAGGTTTTAGGGTCGCTAGATCATAAAAAACATCAAATTTAGAGCTAGGAATCCTACCTTTTGTAGTGTTTATCATGAATCTTGGTACGCGGCGGGTTGTACTTCACCAAGCCACCCTTCTTTTTGAGTTGTCGTTCGATGATGCTTAATCGTTCTTCTTCTGAACTATCTGATGAGCCATCGTCGTCGGGGTTCACCATATTGCGCTGAAAATAGTGATTTTCAGGCCTCTCTCTCTCTCTCTCTGGCCTATTTCTGGGCGTCAAAACTCACTCTCAACCAGGAACTCGTTCTAGTATACTTCTGTCGTTGCTCATAAGCCGGTGGTGGTGGATGAGCAATCGGTTCCATTGCCAAACTGACAGTATCCGCCGCTCCTTTCGCTCCAATTATATCAGAATCCGAGGAGGAACGTTTAGGAGTCTTTGGAATCTGTCTTGTGGAACTTCTGACAGTTTCTATTTCGAATGGGCTCGATAGTTCCAGCTCTTCAGCTTCTTCGTCTTCAGTCATCTCTTCGTCTTCCTCAATACTTTCTACAGAGTTTCTAAAGATTTTAACCTCATCCTGGGCATCTAAATCGTCTTCGAGAGACTTTGGATTGCCTAGTGACGTAGTTCCCGTAGAAGATCCGAAGATCGAAGTGGTCATCATGAACATGGATGTCATCTGGCCATTTGGATTATTGTTATCCGGGAAACAGAGAGCCTCTCCAGCGCCTTCTGAAGACATTTCCATCGTGGCGTCGGCACCAGAATACGATGGGATTAGAAGAGAAGAATTGTTGAGAGAATCGTCTAGAACTCCACGAGATTTCTCGAGTTTCTCGATTCGAGCCGTCGCTTCTTCCAGCATTTTTAGCACGTCGCATTTCAGCTTTTTCTCGGATTCAAAGTTTTGTTTCAACTCGGAATACTTGTGGCGGAGACGGTCATTCTGCTTTCTGAAAATGATCGGTGAATACTGATGAAGAAAAAGCTGCTAGAACTACAGTGAACACTCTAATAGAAGGGCACCTCATACTTGCACTTTAAGCTCAATTATCTCGGTTTCTATGAGAGATATCAAGAATTTGTCAACTAATAAAAAATGCCGATATTATGATTACCACTTTATCAGTTGACAACGTTCGGATACCTTTCACAGGAACAGAGAAAACTTGGCTCAAAGTTACAGGGCCCTTCTACTCCTCTCATAGGTTCAAAAATCATTTTCAAACAACATTTCAGCACCAACCTGATCTGATAGTTCTCGTTTGACAAATCATCAATAGTCTCGTTCATTCTAATCTTATCCTCTCTCCATTTCGTCTTCATCTTCTCAATTTTGGCCTTCATCATCGTCACTTCCCCTTTTTTCTGCATAAATCGCTCTTTGAGAAGCTCCTTTTCCTCGTCCGAATCGTCTTGTTGATTCATGCTTCGATCGTACTCTCTAAGAGCCATCATGTTACGATAAGCTTGGTCTTGATCGATTTCTGAGCGGCGATTTCTAGAAAAATGATAGTTTTTCTTCGAGAATTTGGAGACTTTTTGGTACTTTTTTACAGGGAAATTCATTTTTTATGCAGTTTATTCGAGAGATTCATGAATATTGAAATACTTACAGAACCGAATCATCCTTTACTTTTCTTGTACTACTTCTGAAGCTCCGATCGTTTAGAGGTGCTCCTGGACACGACATTGGTCCTAAAAAAAGTGAAAAAAATCAATACAACCTAATTTTTGAAACTGAAAACTTACCTTTTGTGGTTTTCGGCGCTGTGATAACTGCATACGGACTTTTCAACCTCAAATCGATTTTGTGTGGTTCGCCAGCGTACACCGATTCATTTAGTGTTGATTTTTTGTTTTTCAGTGACCCCGTTGCAAAAGAAACTGCCTGAAAAACAGAAAAATTTTTGAAATTGGAAGTTTTTCGACTCACCGGCACATTCTCTTTATTATTGTTCTTTTTGCTCGGCTTGAACATTTTTATTAAGGATCCCATTGTGAAATCCTGAAAAACGAATGAATTCAACCTAGAAAATCCTATAAAATTCTGGAAACAATGCGTGGAAAGCAGGTGGGAATTCAAATATGGAAGGTGGCAAGGAATTGCAGTAAGGTGTCGTCAAATGCGGCACATTAGACGCAAACACCGAGCGCATCATGAGGGAGGAGAAGAGACGCAGGTGGTGAAAGGAGAAACAACGATGCTCCGGCATAACATAGAAAACCGCGAATTTCAAATTGAGTTTTTAAATTTGAAATTTTTTTTGAACATTTTTCCGGTTTAAATACGGAAAAGTATGTCAATCGCTTATGGATTCGACCCGGATATCTCACCGATTTACGAAGACGACAATGGCACGTATCACTCTGCCCATTTTAGCTCGGCAGACACGCCTAGAAAGGTTTCAGTTAAAATTTTTGACCTAAAATTAAAAAAAAGTTTTAGTCCGGCCGAGTAACGAATCAAACTATGGGAGCATCTCGAATCGATTCGAATTTATCGAGTTTTCACGATTTTCACCAAGAATGCGCCCCAATCTCGGAGAGTACTGTAGAAGAATCGGATTTTCGGGAAAGACAAGAAGAGGATTCAGATGAGAATGTTCCAGATTCAAGGGATGGAGTCTTAGAAGCTCCCGACTTCAACGATGATGATGACGACGAGAATGTTCCAGAGTCTGTGGGATTTCTAGCTGACACGTGGATTGTGCTTTCTGCCGGATGTTGTCTCCCAATTAGGCATCATTTGTCGAAGAAATTAAAGGTTTGACTAGATAAAAAATGAAGCAATCTTCAGAAAAAAATTTATATTTCGATTTTAAATTTTTTTCAATAAAAATCAATTTTTTTCAGGAAATGGGCGCTGAAGTCCAACAAAACGTTGACTACCGTACCACCCATGTAGTCGTGGATCGTTATGGAGACGAATCGATCGTTGGAAAGGCGATGGCACGTCGTCCTCATCCTCCAGCGATGGTAGATATTAAATGGATTCAAGAGTGTCTGGATCACCGGAAAAAATGTCAAGAATCGGACTATTCCATGCAAGGACTACGGTATTTGAAGCAGACGTGCCGGCGGTTGTCCAGTTTCCGAGAACCGTCTCCTATGGGACAAGAAGCATCGTTTTTTGAGGATTTTGATGATGAGGAGGCGCCAAATGATCCGAAAAAGCTTCTAGAAGAGATTCGGAAGTTGTCAGATAGACTGGATGCGCTGTTGGATTGTAAGGGAAAATTATTATGTCCCACAACGACAAAAACTACCGTAATCTAAAATATTTTTAGTGCTTTTCCGGATTTATTTTCGCCGATTCTCTCAATTTTCGTGCGTTTTCAGTCAATTTTTCACTGTAAAAAATTGTTTTTTTTTTGCGGAAAACAGTGAAAATCGAGAAAATAAATTCTGGAAAAAATTAATTTTTCTTCGATTTTTTTTTGCAAATTTTTAGACCTTTTTAGGTTTTTCACCTATTTTCAAACAGTCTTTTTTTGATTTTTCCGATTTTTTCCGACTGAAATTTGACGGGATGGGTGTTCTTGATTACTGTAGATTACTGTAGTAAGCTAATTTACTTCGGTAGTTTTTTTCTTTTTTTGCAAATACAATCACGTCAGAATGCAGATTGTGCTTGCAAAAAAAAAGCTACAAAAGGAAACTAGGTTTCTACAGTAATCTACAGTAATCAAACACCGTTCCATCAAATTTCAAACGGAAAAAACCGGAAAAATCGAAAAAGAATCTTCAAAAAAGCTGAAAACCCTGAAAAGTCTAAAAATTTGACAAAAAAGCGAAGAAAAATCAATTTTTCTTTCAAAAAATAGCAAAAAAAACCCGCTAATTTTTCGGATTTTTCAGTCTTAGAGGGAACGTAAAAATTACTAAAATCAGCTGAAACTGACTTAAAAAGGCTGAATTACTTTCATAATCGGCTCAAAAAGACCTGAAATTCAGTGAAAATCAGTGAAAAATTAAATAAAATCGGTCGGGAATTGGTCTGAAAATAGCTGAAAATGTGAATTTTGACTATGAAAATTGACTTGAAATTATTGAAAATGAATAAAAAATTTCAGAAAAAGTCGGGAAAATCGAAAAAGAATCGAAAAAGAAAGAAAAATACAATTTGTTCCGGATTTATTTTCTCGATTTTCGTGCGTTTTTATTTAATTTTTCACTATCAAAAATGTTATTTTCCGACATTTTTAGATAAAAAATCGAGAAAATCAAATTCGGAAAACAATATTTTTGGGCTTACTGAAGTACCAGAAAATATTTAAAAAAATTTTTTTCGTTTTCAGATGAGCCTGTCATTCGATTTGAATACCACTCCCCCGACTGTCCCACACGCCAACATGAAAAACGACGCTCAGCAATTCCACCACCTCGAAACCCGTTGAATCTACCTCCAGAAGACGTCCGACGTCTTCTGACTACTATATCAACCTTAACGACCATCAGAAGACGTCGCTCGTTTTCAGGATATATTTTGGAACATCGTGAACCAGAAAATCTGGCTGTGGAGGTTCAAAAAATGACGAAGGATGTCAGAGAAATTTGGGAGAAACCCAAAGGAAAATCACCGAAAAAATCGAAAAAGGCCCCACAAAAAACGGTGAATGATATGAGAAAAACCATGGCAGCAGATCTGACAACAATTCGAAATACACTTGGAAGAAATGCAGATTTGAATAGAGCGAGAACGCCAGCTAAGAAGACACAAAAAGCAGTAAAGAAGCCGTTAAGCAGACAAAAAATGGAGCCAGTTAGAGCTGATGACTCGGATATTGAGTCAGCTTTAGCGTCATTGAGCATTTCTGGAGCAAGAAATGGAGCTAGGAGAGCTCTGCAAAAGAGTTCAGTACTGATTGTGGAAGATTCTAGAAGACCACTGGTTCCCACGGCGTCTAACGTCATCAATCGGCTTCAGAAGAGGAGTGAAGAGGAGGACGATGATTTTATTTCCGATGTTTCCGCGTATATTCAGATGAGAAATCAGAAGAAAATAATTAGGGATAATGAGGAAGAAGAGAAGAATGAAGTGGTTTTCACTGGGTTTAGCAAAGAGTGAGTGGCTGAAAATAGCTGAAAATTTCGAAATTTTTCAAAAACAAAGAATTTGGAATGAAATCTAGTGTTAAAACCATATTTTTCACCAATTTTCAGTCATTTTGAGCCTAAAAATGACTATTTTCGAGCCTAAATTCCCAATTTCCAATTTTCCAGCTCTCCAATCGAAACGAGACTCAAGAGCATCATACGACGGTTCCGACTGAACGTCGCCACTGAAATCGACGATAGGCGAACGCTTTGTGTCGTTTCGCGACACGGAAAACGTACTTTGGTTGTGCTGAAAGCGATTTGCTGCAATGTGCCGATAATTCGGCCACAATGGGTAAGAAAATGCTTTTTCGAGTAAAAATTCCATTTGGCGAAATTTGAGCCAAAAATCGATAAAAATCACCGAAAATCAATGAAAAATAGGCGAAAATTGAGAAAAATAACAAAAAATTCAAAACTACCGTAATCCTTAAAGGCGCACACCTTTACTTGGTAAGGCGGGTCTCGCTTGGAATTTGTTAAAGGCGCGAGCTCACATTTTGTTCGCTGAGTCTCGTGTGGAAATTATTTTTAAGGAGTACTGTAGTTCTTAAAGGCGCATGTACTGCAAAAAATAAATTCCACACGAAACTCTAACTACAAAATCGACGCATGCGCCTTGACTACGATAGCCAATTCGAAACCCGCCTTACTAAATGAGTGTATGCGCCTTTAAGATTACGGTAATTATTTATTTTTTTGAACTTTTTTTCCCGGTTTTGGTCTAATTTTTGTCGATTTTCATCGAATTTTGGCTTAATTCTTGAGGAAAATTTCTCAAAATATTTCAAAAAACTTTGATTTTTCTTATTCTTCGTCCCTCCCTTGCTCAAAAATAGACAAAAAAAACACAAAACGACTCCGAGGGCAGCAAACGACCCCCATTATATTGTTTATTCAGTTTCCTCTACGATTTTCTTCGTCTTTTTTTTTTCCTTTTTTGTCGTATTTCCCCCTTCTAATCCCCCTAAACTCAAAACAAGCAAAGAATATTCAATTTTCTGAAAAAAAAAACATTTTTCCAGCTCGAAGAGTCGTTCGAAGACTCGCAATTGCTCTCAATCGATGATTATGTGTACGAAGAATGGCTGCTGATTCAAAACAATAGAATTTTTGAGAATTTCCACTTGAAAATGTGGATTTCGTCGGAATGCACTCCAGAAGCCAAGGAGTTGGCATGGATGGTGGAAAAATGTGGAGGAAAGGTACTATTTACAGTCAAAAAATAGATAAGTTTCGATTTTCCAGGTCACTCGACACCTTCACAAGGCCGACTTGGCGATAGCTCCAGAAGCATGGGAGATGCCGGAAATCCACGTGGGGCATATCGAAGTGGTGACGCCCCTCTTCCTCATCGACTCGATTTCGATGGCTGCGTTGCAGAGTTTTCGGGATTATATGGAGAGATGAATAATTGCTAATTTTTTGTTATATTGTTTTTGTTTTTCAATAAATTTTCATGTTTCCGGGCCCAAATTTCGGTTCAAATGGTAAATTTTCCTTCTATTTCTTGCTTTTTTCAGCGGAGGTTGCTGAAACTGCTTTTTTCCGCTAAAAAATCCATCGAAAACGCATTGAAGTCTGTCTAAAATTGCGGCGCAACTTCCCCGTAAATCGACATGGCCGAGAAAGGAGGCGCCTCCTCGGCCACGGCCATTGGTAGCACAGCTCAGTTTCTCCCGCCTTTTGTGCTCTTTTTGGAGCATCCCTCCTCTTGTTTTATGATCGATTTTTAGGAATTTAATGCTTTTAATAAAAGAAAAAAATTATGAGATTTTTCTGAATTTTGAAAATTTGAAAACTCCCAGTCTTTACCTGAAAAACAATGCAATAAATTTTCCCCGTTGACCTCTTAAAAATAAAATTAACACATTTGATAATGGGAAAGAACATAAAATGAAACAAGCGGATCATCAATTAGGCCCTCTTTTCTCTTTTAAATATCTCTCAAAAATTCTCGGGAAAATCAAGGGAAAAGACCCAATTTCCCGGAGAAGGGGACGGGTGTAACATTTCGAGACGGAGAGCAATTTGATACGTTTTGTTTCAATTTCATCACATTTTGTGTGTGTGTGTCCCTTCAAACTGGCCACTGGCTACTGGTGATCACTTGTCCTTGAAGGACACATCTTTTGAATTTTAAATTTTGAATTATTTAATTTTCTCATGTATCTTATAGTTTGAATCAAATAAATCTATGCTCATAATTCAGAAAAATTAATTTTTTAGATGTAAAAAAAAATGCATCGAACTGCAAAATATCTGTACATAATCGGTGGATGTGCACTGGCTGCCGAACGGGAACCAATTAAAAATATCGAGCGGATTTGTATAGAAAATGTGGAGAAATCTAGAGAAAATAGGTGAAAATAGCAAAAAACTTGCCAAAAAAATTGTTTAAAAAAATAATTTTTGAATTTTTTCAAATCGAGAAAATTTTCCAATTTTCATGAAAATTTGAAATTTAATTTTTTGAAATTTAATGAAATTTCCAGAAATTTCGAAAATTCAAAAATTCCGAAAATTGAAAATTCAGAAATTCGAAAAACTTGAAAATTCACAAGTTCGAAATTTTAGAAGTTCGGAAATTCAAAAGTTCAAAAAATTCAAAAAAAAAACAGAAATTCAAAAAATTCAACTAATTTAAGATATTCCAAAATTTCAGAAATTTTAAAAATTCAAAAATTCAGAAGTTCAAATTATCAAAAACTTACGAAATTGGAAATTTCAGAAAATTCGAAAATGTGAAAATTCCAGAAAATTCAAATATTCACCATTTAAGATATTCAAAAATTCCAAAAATTCGGAATCTCAAAAAGAAAATAGAAATTCAAAAATTGAGGAATTCGAATATTCCAGAAATTTCGAAAATTCAGAAACTCGAAAATTTCAGAAATTAAGCATTTTAGAAATTCAAAAATTCGGAAATTCAGAAATTCAAAAAAATTCGAAAAAATTTTTTGAGTTTCCGAAAATCCCAAAACAAAAAAAAAGCTCAAATTAATTTTTATTTTTCAAAGTTCCCTCTATTTTTCAGCTCCCCACTAGTCAAAATTCATGCTGAACACGTTGGTAATCTATCGATTCCTCGACGGTCTCCAGCTTGCTTTCTACTCAAAAATCAACAAGAAATCTTAATTTCCGGTGGATGTACAGGTCCAAATAATCATACAAACACCATGGAATTGCTCCGAATTTCTCCAGAATTTTCGTCGAAAATTCTGGAAGAAACATTGGAAATCGGAGCTAGTTGTTCGGGTTTTGATTGGGCTTCAAAAGGGCCATTCTACCCAATTTTTGGTGGATTTGAAGCTCATTCCTGTCTTGACGATGTCCAGGTCTTGGACCAATCGCAAAATTGGAATGCTAAGAAATTAGGCAAAAAACTGATGCCGAAAATCAAGAATTCGACTGTATTGGCACTGGAAAATCGAGAATTTTTGATGTTTGGAGGCTGGGAAGATGAACAAAAGACCACGAAAGCGATTAGAAAGTGATTTTTCTAAATTAAAAACAAAAAATCAATTTTCTAAATTTTTTTCAGAATCAAGTTCAACGAGGACTATACGGATTATGAAGTGGAGTTCGCCGGATTTTTGCCGTATCCAGTGGAAGGTAATTGTTTAAAAAATTTAATAAATTCAATGTTTTCAAAAATTCGAAAGTTCAGAAATTCGGAATTTTAGAAGTTCGGAATTTCGAGAAATTCAGAAATTTCAAATATTCAGAAATTCAGATAATTTAGGAATTCAGAAATTTTGAATTTCGGAAATTCAGAAACTAAAAAAATTAGAAATTTGGAAATTTGAAACTTTGGAAATTCAGAAATTCAAAAAATCAGGAGTTCAGAAATTTGAAATTCAAGAAAATTTTGAAAACTCCGAAATATGAAAATTCGGAGATTCAGAAGTTCAAAAATTCAGAAATTCGAAAATTCGAAAGTTCAGGAACTTAGAAATTCAGATATTCGAAAATTCCAGAAAATTCAAAATTCGACAGTTCAGAAATTAAAATATCTAATTTTCAAAAAATCAAAAAATCTGAATTTTTTGAAAATTCGAAAAAATCCCTTTTCCGAAAATTTTTAACCAAAACATGGATTTTTAGGTCACTCAATGGTTCGAATTGGCTCTAACGTCCTATTAATCGGTGGATTCGACGGATGTTTTGTGCTGGATTCTATTATAAAATACGATTTGGACACTAAGAAATCCGAGGTGATTTTTTCTTCTTGTCAAAGTTTTCCGATTTCATTTATACCAATTTTTCCAGATTCTCCCTGAAAAACTCTCCGAAAAACGAGAAAACCACGTGTCAGCTGTGCTCTCCGACCGATTTCTAGTGATTGCTGGTGGCTGGAATTCCAGAAGTTCGTTAGATGACGTGGAAGTCTTTGAAATTCAGAAAGATTCAGAATTGGCACGTTGCCAAGTGAACGGGAAATTGTTAATGGCCAGAAATCGACCGGCTGGTGTTCCGATTTGATCAATGTTTTTTTTTTAAATTTATGTTCTGGTGCTCATGTTTTACTGATAAACCGGTTTTTGTGCTCTATTTTCTTGTGGCTTGTGTCTTCTATGGGTCTCTGTGCACCCAATAATATATTGATTTTTTGAAAAATTTTCCTTTTTTAAGCTTCAAAAAAGTTTGCAGATGCTGAAAAATGAATGGACACAATGAGGTGCCGACAACGTCAAAGGGGAACGAGAAATGTGAGTTTTTTTTTTTTTGAATTTTTGAAATTGTCGCCAAAACCAAGTGCGCTCTATTGCGAATTTTTGGGAAAAAAATTGGATTTTCAGATTCGATCGCATCCCAACACACTTTCTCGTCGAGCTAACCTCACTGGATGAGTTGGCGTTTCCGGCGAATTCAACGAAACGGGTCAAGGTAGATAAATTGCTTTGAAAATAGTTTTTTTTTGGAATTTAAGAAAAGATGTTTGAGAGATAAAATAATAGAAAAATCGCTGATAAATTCAGGGTTTTCTGAAAATTTCAGTGATTTAATGTTTTTAAAATTCTTAATTTTTCAGAATTTCCGGCAAAATTAAAGCCAGAAAATCAAAAAATATTGTTGTTTAATTTCAAAATTTGACACAAAAAATGGCTTAATTTGATTCATTTAACACTCCAAAACTCAAATTTGGGACATCTGGACAAACTCTCAAACCTCATTTTTCAGTACACATGTGTGGCGAGCACCTCAAAATGTCTGTGCCTTGGAACTTCCACTGGATCTGTGTACATCTTCTCGAGATATGCAGCAAAATCCAGGTCTAGAACTAGTTCACCAGTTCCTGTGCAGGTTTTCACGACGAGAGATGGACAGATTAGTACGGTGAGTTGTTTTTTTTTTGAGATTTTAATTTGAAAAAAGTGAAAAAATGGGTATTTTTGCTCCAGAATTAAGTCGTGTTTCTAGCTAAAATTGAGAAAAAGTCAATTTTTTTTAATCCCGATTTTAAAAAATTTAGAAGGAGTTTGAAAATTTCAGTGAATAAACAATTCACAATTTTCAAAAACTCAGAAAATTACCAACGATTCCAAAAAACAAAAAATTCTAGAGAATTTTTTTAATCAGAAATTCAAAATTTTGGTTCTTCAAAAACTCCAGAATTATTTCGAAAAAGTCCCAGAAAATTCGAAAATTGAGAAATTTCAGAAAATTTAGAAATTAGAAAATTCAAAAAATTCGAAAATCCAATTAATCTAGACTTTCTGAAAACTTGAAATTCGAAAATTCTCAAGAATTTATAAAATTAAAAATTCGACAGTTCGGAAATTCCAGAAAATTCTAGATTCCCGAAAATTCGAAAATCCAGAAATTCCAGATAATTCCAGATAATTTGGAAATTCAGATAATCAAAAATCCATAAATTCAAACATTCAGTGATTCGGGAATTTCAGAAAGTTCAAAAACTCGAAAATTCAAAAGCTCAGAAATTCGAAAATTCAAGGAAATTCAAAATGTTTAAATTTTTCGGAAGTTCAAAAGTTTAGAAAATTCCAAAATTCCAAAAAAACTCCATATTTTGAAAAGTTCTGAAACTCCAGAAAGTTGCAAAATTCAAAAACGAAGAAAACCAACAATTCAGAATTTTAAAAATTCCAAAAATACAAAAATTACAGAAAATTCAAAATTTCACAAACACAAAAATTACAGAAAATTCCAGAAAGTATCGAAAATTCAGAAAATTTGGAAATTCGAAAATCTACAAATTCAGCAGTTCAGAAATGTTAATATTCCATAAAATCCAAAAATTCCAAAAAACTCCGAAGGTGGCAAATTTGAAAATTCCAGAAATTTTGGAAATTCAGAAACTCAAAATTTCGGAATCGATTCAAAAAATACTTTAGCATTTTCAATTAAAATCAAGATTTCAATCCTAAAAAAAGACGTTTTTTTAGTTTAAAACAGAGAAAATCAGTTTTAGAAATTTCCCAAAAAAAAAAAGAAAATATAGCCAAAAATCGATTTTTGGCCACATAAAAAGGCAACAACAAACAGATAAAATGTGTGATTTTTGACACAAAACGAAAGAATATAACCGGATTTTTTATCCATTTTTGTTTGATAAATTACAATAACTGATTATTATGGAGAAGAGAAAAAGGAGAAGATGGGTAGCCTTGAGAAAAAAAAGAACATATGACTTTGATATTGTTAGTTTTCAGAACATCTGTTATCACTTTTCGGCGTTTTTCAAAAGAAAAAATGAAGGAAACAACTGAATTTAAAGGTTTCCAAAGGCTTTTTGATGCTGAAAATCCCAAATTTTAACGGCTTAAAACATGTAGATTCACATAAAAATGGAGAAAACACTGGAAAAAAAAAGAATTTTTTTGAAAAAGACGACTCCGAAAAATTGATTTTTCTCAATTTTTTGCAAAATTTTCAGACCTTTTTAAGTTTTTTCAGCTATTTTCAAAGAATTACTGTAGATTACGGTAGAAAAGTTTTTAGTTTGTAGTTTCGTTTTCTTCATTTTGACGTGGTTGCGTTTGCAAGAAAAATTACTGAAGGAAGTTAGGGGTCTACAGTAATCTACAGTAACCAAACACAATCCAGCCGATTTTCAGGCAAAAAACTCGGAAAAATCGAAAAAGAATCTTCAAAAATGGCTGAAAAACCTAAAAAGGTCTAAAAATTTCGCAAAGAAATTGGAGGAGATCCGCAAAAAAAACCGCAAATTTTCTGCAAGTTTTTAGTGTCTAAAAATCTCGAAAAACCTGAAAAAAAAACACTGAAAACGGTTTTTCTCAAAAAATCTTTTTGAATTTTTCTTAATTTTTATGTGACTCCACATAATTTTTTGTACAAAATGAAGCTATAATTTTAGCTAAATTCACCAAAAAACCTAAAAACTCCAATTTACTGTCCATAATCTATCTCTTATCCTATTTTTGTCCTTTTTTCAGATATCGGTAAGCGCATCTGAAGAGCTAATGGCTATTGGCGGAGACAGTGGACGTGTTTCGATTGCTCAGCTTAATAATGGTCAACCTCCAACACTGATCTATTCGACACCCGGAGACGCTCGTTCTCCGGATAGAGTTATGGCTTTGGCGTGGTCTCCGGATATGAAAACTGTGTATTCTGGACACTCTTCTGGATCACTACACTGTCATCGGCTGAATAATCGCAGCGTTTTTCGAGCCGCCCATCAGAAGTTGACGAAATTCGATGGGGAGATTGTACAGTTGGACACACTGCAGGGACATGTTTTGGGTAGGTGAACGACGAACGAAAATAGTGAATTCTAGGATCTCTAGATTGTAAAAATCGGAAAATAGAGAATTTCGTAAATTTGGAAATATATTATCTGACTATTTTTTTAATGCTGAAAATTCATCAAATACACTGAAAATTCTGAATGCTAGAAATCTGAGAAACAGTTTTTCTTCTAAACTCAGGAATCTAGAAATGCAACGAAACATAATGTAGATACCGTAAACACTCTAATAAAACGCCACCCGGTCCGTCCACTTTGAGCCTATATATCTCACTTCTTTTGCAAGATATCTCTCACACAAAATGAGATACATAGGCTCTAATTTGACGAGTCGGGTGGCGTTCTATTAGAGTGTTGACGGTACCTAAATTCCTCCTTTTTTCCAGTCGCCACATCGCTCTCCGCCCATTTATACCACGTGGATTCTGGAACGATTCAACAAGTGGGAAAGAAAGTTCGAACGTCTCCATCGCCTCTCGGCGCCTGCTACATTCAAGATTCAGAAGGTGGAAGCGCGTTTATTGTCGCTGCAAGACCCAATGGACGACTTTGGGAAGCGAATTTGGTTGGAGTGGTTTATAAGTGAGTTTTTTTGGGGAATGGAAAAAAAGATAAATAGGTAACCTTGAAAAATCCTCTAGAATACTGTATTTTAGCTTGTCGTATTTCTCGAATCCAGTATACTCCCACAAAAGCGACCTGCCGATGTTTCCTTCCTCACCTGGCGACGTCAGACTGACGTATCTTTTATACTGAAATCATTGGGACCCCTTCACATACTTCTCAGGAGCTTACTGTAACCATATCGTTACAAGGACTCTCTCGCATATTTCCCAGGGCCCTAATTGTAATCATTGATTGAGTTTATGGGCGGTCCAGCACATGGGCCAGGTGAAGGTAGCCAAATACGGATGACAATTCATTCAGTCTTTTTCTTCCGGTCATAGTTTTTTTTTCTGTTTTCTCACATTGATTTAGTCTACTGTACGTAACTCTATCGAGTAATTTAAGACTGGAAAAATACGTTTTTCTCACAGCACAGCTAGCTTTAGACCAATAAATCGTGTTGGTTACTGTTGGTTTTTATCTATGTACTCATTTTTCCTAATCGGCTAGTTGGAAAATAGGTATAGTGTCTTAGGTTTTCTTCTAGATTACTGTAGTTTCGACAATTTTTTGAACCAAAAAAGCTATAGGATAGTTTTCTTCTGTAGATAGTTTTCTTCAGAATCAGAACGAATAAACCTTGAAAACTTCTCTAAGTTACTGTAGTTTATTTTGTTGGCCTCCTTTTTAATACAACATCTTTGTGGAGTCTGTAGTTATCCTCTAGATTACTGTAGTTTAGTTTGTCAGTCTTTCTTTTTCTCTGGCGCTTCAGTTCTCCTAAATTTGAGTGTTGTATTTATTACTGTACTCTGCTTTTTTTTGCTGTAAGTTGTAGAGTATTCATGAAAAATACTTTTCTAAAAAGAAAACGTACTGTAGTTTTGCTTGTAGTTCTTTTTCCCCATGTTTTCCGTATATTCCTACAAAACCTGTCAATTTTTTCACCTTTACCTGACGACGTCAGGCTGACGTCACTATTTTACTGTAACCATTCCTCTACCATACCTCTTCACATACTTCCCAGGAGCCTAATTTTCTCCATCGGCTCACTTTATGGCCGGTCCACCTGGACTGCAGGTGAAGACAGCCATGAGGACCGGAACGCAACGTTAGCATTCATTCAGTCGGTTTCTTCCTCTGCGAGAATCCTCTCATAGTGCTTCTCTCTATTCTCATTGATTTTTTCCCTGTATTTTACTTCCTGCAAATATCCTACCATTCACTCATTTTCAATTTCCAGAACTCTAAGCTTATTCGTCTTGTACTAATAACAAGATAATATGTCTATGTACTATCGTTCTACCACTGTATCGTCGTCTGGATCCTCCACTGCATCTTCGACATCAGCTAGATCTTCTTGCTAGATCTTCTCCACCGTTGGCTTCTACTGTTGACAGCGGATCCTCAGTCAGTCGAGACCGATCCTACGTCCTAACCCGAGAGTGTCTGCAACCTGAAATGACCCCCAATTCCCCCCAAATGTGTAAGATAAGCGGTGCAAAGGAAATAACAGTACACAAAGTATTCAAATCCAAGTTTATTAACGGAAAGGGATTTGAATAAACGGCAAAGACAACGGAATTGTGAAAAGAAAGCAAGAACAGAAAAGAAGTAAAGGTGTAGGGCTAAAACCTCCTGGGAGCTACCGGAGTTAACCTTGCTGCCTTCTAAAACTGGTGCCTAACAAACCAAAACGATGCCAAACGTAGAAAGGCTCAAAAAGGTTAAACGAAACCGCATAGCGGTCAGCTCTTGGTGAGATACGAACACTCGCTTCGCCGCAGCGAAGACTGAGTAACGACGGGCGGCGGACGCCAGTGCCGAGTGACGCGGCCGCTGCGACGCGGTCGTTGGCGCGTATTCAAATAATATTAATATTATTTGAGTGAAACAATGCACTTGAAATTAGAGAACGAAGAGAGATAAGAAGGGGAATGAACATGACCCGATTAAAGCGGATAATCCAGAGGGATTTTATGGGGAAAATCGGGAGACTCTGGGTTATCTCCCTTTCAGGTTGTCATTGTTCCCAGACAATGGGAAAAATTGTCAACATCTACCCCATTTCTTGGAGTCTCACAGCCAATGTCAACTGCATTCCCAACGGAAAATGATCTCCTACTCACCACGACTCTTCTTAAAGCCCTCGAAGCCGCCAATTCGTTTGAAAAACCTCAAGAATCTCTAAAGAGAGTGATGGTGTTGAGAAAACTAAATGGAAGTGTCAAAACTTGGATTCAAAGCATCACGAACCAAAGAATGCCAAATGGAAAGGATTTCAATGCCGAGGAAGACTTATGGCTTTCGGATCATATAGACTTGGAGTTCATGGACCAGGAGCTGATATCGACTGCCTTGTTCTCGCTCCACGCCACGTTAAGCGTTCGGATTTCTTCCAGTCTTTCAAGGATGTGCTAGCCAAAGATCCACTGTGCAAAAATCTTCAATCAGTTGAACAGGCGTATGTGCCAATAATGACGATGAAATACGACGAAATTGAAATCGACCTGCTGTTCTGTTCCCTCGACTTGCCAGAGGTTCCCGAAGACTTGAATATTTCCGACGATTCCTACTCAAGAATTTGGACCAGGAATCAGTAAGAAGTTTAAATGGAGCGAAAGGAACCGAGATGATCTTGAAGCTAGTGCCAAATCAAGAAACATTTGCCCTCACTCTCCGAGCTGTCAAAATCTGGGCCAAGAATCACGGTATCTATTCTAACGCAATGGGCTATCTCGGTGGTATCTCATGGGCTCTTTTGGTAGCTCGAGTATGTCAATTATATCCAAACGCCGCCCCAGCCAAGCTCATCCAGAAGTTTTTCTTTGTATTTTCTTCCTGGATTTGGCCTTCTCCGATTCTTCTGAAGCACTTGAATCAACCTAGCGGAACTCAAATGGATAATCTTGTATGGAGCCCAAGGACCGATCGCTCAGTGATGCCGATTTTGACTCCAACATTCCCGTCCCGGAGCAAAATTCAACTCATAATGTGTCAAAAAGCTCGCTTAAAGTGATTCAAGATGAGATGAAAGACGAATTGGAGATGTGCGATAAGATTCATTCTAGAAATGCCAAGTGGGAAGATCTCTTCGAGCCGACTAATTTCTTCACTGGCTATAAGCATTTTGTTGCTGTCACACTAGAAACAGAAGATGCAAAGTTCCAAGGATTCTTCGAGTCCAAGATTCGCCAACTGGTTCAAATCCTCGAGTCCGATCCTTTGATCGCCATTGCTCATATCAACCCAAGAAGCTTCAAGAAATCAAAGTCTACTTGGTTCATTGGAATGGATTTCATAGAGCAAGCCAATAATCTGGATTTGACTAGAGACATCGAGCGATTCAAGTACAACATCAACCAGCAAGCCAGCAAGCTGAAGAGCATTGGAAGTGGAGTCGTCGATGCCAGCTATGTCAAGAGATCCGGCCTTATCAAGTTTGTCCCTGCAGCAGAGTTGACCAAAGGAAGATCCAAGATGGCTCCGAAGACTAAGAAGACGTCAGATGCACGTAAACGCCCCGCTTCAACTGAATCCAATGGACCAGATGCTAAGATTCCTCGTTGAATCACTGATCTTAATTTCTTAATTTTCTCTTTTTTGATCTCATTAATGAATTAATAATAAGAAAAATGTGTTTTTTGAGAAGTATAGACTTTTTACTACTTATTGCGATCTGAGGCAGTTTGGGGACACACTGTGTGGATTGTGTGTGGATTACTGTAGTTCCTCTACACAGGTGATTCGCGAACAATCCGTTACGGACGCTCCGCGTTCGCGCGCGGTTGAAATAGGAACCGCATACGGACCGCACGCGAACCGTTTTCAGTAAATGGCAGTACATTATTCGGATTGATCCGTATCCTGTCCGTTCGCGAGCTCCGTATCCGATCCGATTGCGAATCATGACCAAACGGA